TAACATCTGATTTTTCTTGACCTTTCATATATCTATCTATATATATATATATATTAATACAAAGATTTCATATGATATTTGGAATCCAAATAAATGAATTAGCTAATAAATTTTAAAAAATAATTGAGAAATTCGAACATTATGAGATAAATAGACATTTTTACTCTAATCACTACTATTAAAATTTGACTTATGTTAAATTTGAACAAAATTAGTTACAATAGAAGCAAATGGCATAATATATAAAAGAAATTAGGTTAAAGAAAAAAATCACAAGACAAAAAATTCTAGGTCAACTTCAGTGCAAGGTGATGACTTTTCAAGGAAACAGATAGTCTATATTTGAAATTCTTATTCCATAGCTATCACTTTAAACTACGAGTTCTCTTTGAGTCTACCCACTTGAAAATGTAATTAACTATATGAGCATGATATTATGGGGAACTCGACTCCAAAATTAAATAAATCTTATCAAGCTTTGCTTTATTCTAGATAGGGGGAAAATTGAGATAAATTTTATGTTAATATTGTCTTGTATATCTAATTTGTGGAGTGAATTATGTTCTATTTTCCAAAATAGTACTATATCATCTCTAAGGAACATTTAAAAGACAAATATATGTGTAATTCATTTGTTTTTCATTATAATCACGGGAGTATGTTTCCATTTCTCGAGTGTTTTCTTCCATTCCCATGGTGTTTGTCTTTCAAAGCCTATTTTACTTTAGTGTTATTGTGGGATGGCACCATATATAGATTCATATTTGTGGTTTTGGTCACCTTTGGCATCTCTAGATTACATTGTATTATATGGGTGCACCATTAAGGATTTGATTGACCCTTTAGATCTACTACAAGGCAATTGCAATCTTGTTAGGGTATATCTTGATGTTTGTTGGCATCCTTTTGGAGCATGTATATTCAGTGGAGTCGCCATGAGATGTACCACACTTGGGATGTATACATAACCGACTTGTTCTCACTATGTTAAAATTGAAAGAAGATATTCTATTTCAATGATAATAATTTGCATGCCTTGGAATATTTAATTATAGACTCTAAATCCTAAGGTTAATTAGATATGTTTGGCATAACATCAACCAAATTCATTCCAGATAACTTTCAAGTTGATAATTAAACCTTATCCAATTAACAGAAATTTAAAATAGTTAGATCAGATATATCTTATGTAATTCCCATGAAAATGGCTCACATGTAATTTCAATGAATTTTCCTATAATTAGCTATAGCACTCGCATGCTGCGATAGAAAATCAGAATCTCAAAATGCTGGTGAGAATCTGGCAATTAGCATAGATCTCCCATAATAGCTTAGATTTTATGACAAGACCAATAACAACACCTATAGTCATTATTCTCTGGATGCCCTGCCAAGTAAAAATTCACAGATGTCCAAATCTGGTTCTTGTTTAGTTAGTCAAAGAAAGAAAGAAATGCTGGAGCTGAGTCCATGCAAGTTTCAAACTCAACTTGGATCTTACCCACCCATGACCCACCACCTCGACCCACCTCTGTTAATTTAATTGTTTCCTGAAGTATTCTGGCTATTGCTTTTATACATGTGTTCATTTTACTATTTCTGGTTATAACTAGAAGTAATTTTCTAATATCCATATGTTCTGGAACATAAAAGAATCAAGTTAGTTTACAAATGTGGGTAATAGCCAAATTTTGTTTCGTAAAGTGCCAAAATAGTCCCCCGACTATTTACATGGGTCCGTTTTAGTCCCAAAGTTTATAGAAGTGCTAAATTAGTCTCCAGACTATTTAAATTAGGGCTCTAATAGTTCAGCCCCAATTTAAAGTGTATAGGGACTAATTTGACATTTTTATAGGCTTTGGGACTAAAGCGGCCCATTGTTAATAGTCAGAGGGACTATTTTGGCACTTTACTCCTTGTTTTAAGGTGCAACTAGTAAATCAACAGACTGAGGGAGGAAAAGATAAAGGAAATAAATGATTGAAAAATAAATGTGCTACCTGAAAAAAACTTAGGTATTACTTAAAAAAGGCTGGCTTACATAAATAAATGGAAGTAAATCTGCATGTGATATGTTCTTTGAGCAGTTAGTTTACACATATGTCTAATAAATTTGCTCTTTGTTTTATTTTATTTTATTTGGTTTACAATTATGTTAATTTTGCTGTATACTGTATACATTGGTGATTGCATTGCACAGCTAGAAGTTTTCTTAACAAATATTGTTCTGTTTTGTTGAAATTTTTTCCTACACTTTAATTTTGATTATGGAATATATGCACTCGCAAAATCTGATATTATATCAGATAATTTTTGTATTTTTGTTGATGACTAGTGCACTGATATATGATATTCTTTTAGGGTCGAAAATATTCTAATAAGGATTCCAAGCTTAATTTCAGTGGCGGAAACGTACATGTTGTAGATAGCCAAGAAGACTGGGATGAGAAAATCTTAGAAGCAAATAAAGATGGCAAAATAGTAAGTTTTCTGTTTAGAATAGTTATGTGTATTCGTGTATCTATGTTAAAGAAATTCGAGTGTAATGCTTAGAAAGCAATCTCAGGTATGTCAACTTCTACACTGCAAAGGCCTCTCTGATCGGTTTCTTTCAGGAGTATCTGTAGCATGCCCCCTTGCCGAGTTCATTTATTTTTGATTAATTTTCTTGATGTTTTTTTCTTCATTTTAAATCTAACTTTTGATCCTGAAATCCTTTTACTTTCGTATTAAGTCAAATTTTTTCGTTTTGCTTCGAGAGCCCTCTTTTTCTACAATAACAACAACAACAACAAAGCCTTAATCCCACTACGTGGGGTCGGCTACATGAGTCATTTTTCTCCATTGTGTCCAATTTAGTGTCATATTTTCATTTAGTTTTAATAAATTAAGATAATTTTTTATACAATAAGCCCAAGTCCTCTGCCTTTCTTAACATAAGTCGAATCTAAAACATTTACTCTCCTAATCAAATCATCAGATGGTCGACGTTTAATGAGAGCCCTCTTTTTCTATTGGTTGATTATTAAAAAATTGGGAAATTCTTATGCATTTTAATATCTCACACCTAAACTTTCATATTTACATACATAGCACTTTAGTGCTTTAATCTGATGCATGAAAAGGTGTTTTAGACCTTTAAAAAGTGATAATGTGCTACTTTTATGAGATATTAAAACATTAGGTGTTATGTGTGTAAATATGAAATTTTAGGTGCGAGATATGTACATACATACGAATTGTGTGTTATGTATGTAAATGCCCCTAAAAAATTATGTTGGCGTTGTATTGTAGGGATGATCAAGATTTTGACCATGGGTCCACATTTTTATCTGCTTTCTATTGATGGACAAAAATGTGCTATTTATGCAGGTTGTCGCAAATTTCAGTGCTGCGTGGTGTGGGCCTTGCAGGTTAATTACTGCCTTCTACACAGAGCTTTCTCTGAAGTATCCTCAATTAGTTTTCCTGACAGTTGACGTGGATGAGTTAATGGTAAATATTAATTCTTGATCTGATGCTTTATTGATGATATATCTCAGACATTTAAATAAAATCTGCTTTTATGGTTCAGTTTACAAGTTGCGGGTGGTTATTTGCTTTTCATAGGGTCAGATACCATATGTACCTCGTCTAACAGTTGCCTCTGAATTTTTAATTGGGAGATTTACATACAACACAATTCTTTTGTATTACATCATATATATAATAATTAATTCTGTAACATCCAATCAAAATAGCACTCCTTAGTTTTTAAAAATGAAATTCACTTTTTCATGCATATAAAGTGTTATATATGTAAATATAGTTTAGGTGTTAGATATATAAATACATAATTATTTTGTGTTATGTATGTAAATTCCCCATTTTTTATTTTATTTGAATCACAATACTACGGATATAAATCAAGACGTCCATAATTATGCATAACCCGGATAATCAGTTTAGTGAATGAAAAAATGATGAACTGAAGTGTAAGCTGTTTGTGCAGTAATTATGATAATTGTCTGAGCATCATCATACGCCTTTTTCTTAAGGCGCTAGGAATTTTGAGGATTACAGTATGGAGCTTTGAGTATTTTGTTTTGATTGGAAAAACTTGATGTGTTTTTTATTTGTATTTCTATGTTCGTCCATGCTCTTATTCTGTTTGATGACCCTGTTTATCTATATGCAGAATTGGCCCAGAGTTTCCTTGATATAATATACATTCATATAATATACAGTAGGTTGCATATAACATCCGATTCATAGGATATCTAACACCTAAACTATAATTTTTACATTTCTCACCCAAATCTTTCATATCACATCAAAAATATCACTATTTTTAACTTTTAAAATGTGAATGCACCTTTTCATGCATAGGTGGGATGGCAACATGTCATACATGTAAAAATTGAAGCTTAGTAGTTAGATATGTAGTTACATAAAAATTAAGTTGTATGTATGTAAATCTTCCTATACAGTAATACTTCCGAGATAGTAAGGGAAGTTCCATTTTATTTTAAGGGGGTTTGGATATATATGATAATGATCTTGTATTTTTGTATTTAACTTCTAAATTTAAATGTTTTTTATATAACCTTCATGGCATTAACATCATATAAACAATGACACTGATATTTACTTTTCTTTTAAGTGAATACACCTTTTCATGCATATGTATTGATGTGATTATGACACCAAATTGCTATACATATAAATATCAAATTTGGATGTTAGATATGTAATCACAAAAGAATTATGTAGTGTGTATGTAAATTCCCCTTTTACTTGCAGTGTATTAATGGAAGAAACTTAAGAGTTGGATTTAATTCACATGAAGTTGAACATTTGTAAATACCTAAATATATCAATTTTCTGTTAAAAGGAAGTTTTTGTGATGTGTTGCTCATGCACTTTAATAGCTTCACTATGCTTGTTAATAATGAATCCACTTTTTAACATTTTTTTGGGTATCCTTGCAATTATTTTATGCAATCAACAAATGCACTGAAGATCTTTTTAGATTAATCTCATTTGATTTCACTTTTTACCTATTTGCTTGTTGGATGTTCTGCTAGTCTTTGTTAATGGGTTTCTTGACATGTTGACGAAGTTTTTTTCAATTGAGAAACTAAAGTTAGGCGCAACATCAATCAGACTTCTTCATAAGCGAGGAGTGAGGAATTTCTGCCATTGCAATGAAGATTTAATGATTGATTAGTATTTAAGTGATAGATAGTGTTATGCCTCAGTTCGGGACTTGAATTGATTAAAGTGGGAATGAATGGTGAAACGATAGAATTAAATATTCTATTATTCTATTTTTATTGGTAATAATTTGATATCTAACTATTAATTGAAAGAGCCACTAAAGAAAACAATTAAGTTGACCAAATAAATATAATTATCTTTGAGGTTGTTGACCATGTCTTCTGTACACATTAGTTCCTCTTCTATTCATTTTATTCAAAAACTTGACTTGAAAAAAATATTAACAAATATACTAAGTTATTTAAAGATAACCCAGAAATAATCACACTTCTAAACTACAGTAACTCAAGGAAAAGAAAACAATATACATATTGGCATTTCATATTTCACTATATGTGATCTTATAATAATCTAATGTATGTGTTCATGACAGCTACTTAATGAAAGTAACTTAAACTTTTTATGCATTAATTTTAACTTTACTTTCTAAAGTTTAGTTTTTAACTTTACTTCATACAATTAACAATCACATCTGTCTTAGGAGCATTGTCAAAAAATTATTTAACACACTTTTGACCGATATTATCTTGTCTGCATAACAATTCATTATCTGATTTATTATCTAATTAACACGAAGGTGTCTACTTTCTTCTAGCCGATATTCTCCCTTCAGCGTAACAATTAGCGCTCTAGACATCAAAATTGTCTACATATGTGGGTATATTGGCGTCATTTGCCTGCACCATAAGGTGGTGAACTCTTTATCTTAGCATGCACATACAAGCATTCATATATACACTATTTCATTATTCATACCCATATTCTTTTCATTTAAGGACAACTTCTATTTATCAGGCAGCTCTGCAAGAATATAAGATTATGTGATAATCTGATAGACACATCTTTACTAGAATTCTAATGGTCAAGTAATAATCTGAGTCGTGCAATAAACTAACATATACATCTCTATTAGAACTTGAGAGTCATTCAATAATATGATGTTTTTCTAAAATAAACTATTATGCAACTATTAAAAATAATATTTAACTTGCATACTTGACGACTAATGATATGTGATTTAATTTCATTCATATACGACATAATAATAATAAGCTGTAAGCATGAACATACTTAAAAACAAAACAAAAAATATTATTATAGCTTAAAAGCATAATTATTCACCTTTGTGTTAAAAGGCTACTATAAAAGCTTATTCCTCCACTTTGCTTTCTCCACAAAAACATATATCAGATAAAAGTGCATATACAAGGTTTACTTTCTCTCTAACATATTATTCATAATTTAAATGTTTGTCAATTATCTTTTGAATCAGATACTCTTACATTTTATGTATATACTCTATTTAATGAAGCTTCATTAAAATGAGAGACAAATAAATACATACATAAATCTTTACCTCTTACTTCATTGTAGTCACTTCTCAAAATCCAGTCTCAGATTATCCTTCCTTTTCTACTAATATAAGTAAATAAAATGATAATTAGTACATTCAATTGGATATGTAGGATCCTAAATTGAAATTAATCCTAACTTTACTTTAGTTATCTCGTTCACTTTATCACAATTATTTACCTCTAGCTCACTCAATTCGAGACTTTTATAGCTTCGATTATGATTTAATTAGACTTACTATTAACATCTCATGAACAAACATACATTTTAAATTCATAAATTAATATACTAAATCCTAAAATACCTTAATTAAACTCTTCGGTTGCACCTCCTGCATACACGAGCCGCCTCCCCTATCCCGTACGCTCACGAGCTGCTATTTCCTCCTTTGTACGAGAGCTCCTCATCTTGGATGCTTGACACCGCTTGACAACACAAAAACGAGAGCCTTCCTGCAGGCAAAGCCTGCCTTCCTTCGTGTTGGATACACACATGACTCACTTCCAAGGTCACAACACTCTTCCTCCTCTCTGGATTACTCGGCTAGTATTTTCTTGCAAGTATCTCGCAAGCGGCGCACCACCTTCTTCTTCCTCTACTTTCTTCTCATCGCAGCCGCTCGATTGATCATAGCCTCCAATGATTACTCTTATAAGCGTCGTCGCTTGCCTCTCTCTTCTTCTCCATTCACATGAAATTTTTTATGATGATTACAACAAATGACGTTGGTACTCTGGTAAGAGAAAATGTGCGATCCTTTCGTTTTTTTCTCTACATTCCATCTCTCGCTCGTTCTCTGTCCCTCGCTCTCTTTAGCTCTCTCCTTTCTATTCTTTATTTCAAACGAGGCGTCTCAAAAAAATGAAACTTTCAAGATAGTTATCGCTTCGAGTCGACCCATCCATTAGATAAGAAATTTTTTTAATTAATTATTTTTATTTTGTTTTATTTTTTTAAGTATGGTTATTACAAATTGTTAAGTTGTAAAGTATTAATGCTCTTCAAAAATATGGTTTAAGTATACTCAGTATTTGAGACCGTCTATATATTGATTATCTGGGAATTGTTTTTTAACGATATTTCGAGATTTCACATATAATGTTAGTTGGCCTATTTTTTATATTTTATTAATTGGGCTGATGTTATTAGTTTTTCTTTTGAAGAGAAGTCATAAAAGACTTCATCTTTATCATAGTGGAATCTATAGTAATAATAATAGAAATTAACTATAAATTAGGTGAATTTGCATAAAAAATATTGGTGTGTTTGCGTTTTTTATTTTCTTTCATTTTTTTTTTTCAATAATTTGAATTATATTTCTTTTACTTCTCCTCACAATGTCGGAATCTTTCTGAGAAGTTTAATATTTGCAACTAGAGAAAGATCTAGCTTCATGATCTCTCCTGATTGAATAGAAAGATCTGAATTGGCTTGCGTTGTTTGTGCGGTGCTTGGTATGAGTATGTTGGACATCTTTGGCAATTATACTATACCGAATCCCAAAAAATAATAAGAAAAATAAATATTATTACTCATAGCAAATATACGGTTACAACCCAACAAGCTTGAAAGGGAATTTATAACAAACACGACATAAATGCACACTAGAGCTCAATTCGTGGGTGGTGGACATCGGATAGGTGGTTGGGGAGTGATGGTAGGAGGCTGAAATGGGTTTGTGGGTTGCTGGGACAACAAAATCAGGGGCTGAAATTGCATTGACAGCAAATCAGAAGGCTTGGAATCGCAATGAAAGCGAGGTGGAGGGCTGGGAAAGCGATGGGTAGCAAAGGGGAGGGGCTGTGGACTGCGGGATAGCAAAGAGAGGGTTGTCCGGGGACTACGACAGTGAGGGGGATGGCTGGAATGACTGAAAGAGGTGG